TATACATTTTGCCCGGCTACCAGCCAATCAGCCTTTTATTAAAACAATTCAAGTGACACATCTTTACAGTGCACCAAGGGAGTAATCCACGGCAACTCATTGTTTTGATTTAAGAGAGAAGTAATGAAGAAGACTAATAAAAATGGAACACATACATTTTGCTCTTTAAATATGTCCTAAACTTGGACAATGGTAATGGAAGATAGGGACAACTCACTGAATAACACATTAAACCTACCTAACTCTTTCCTGGGAACTGTTTGTGCTTCACAGCTGCAAAATACACAGTAGTTTTTAAACAGGAAGAGTTTAGCACTGTCACATGAAAGTGGCAGAAAGAAGCCTCAAGTTGCAATTGCTTCTGAGTCACGCCAAGCCGTGGTCACAGAGTAGATGGAATGTCAGCCTCTGTGCCATATCTCAGCTTGCACTGAATTCCATTCTCTAGGTCAGGACATCTGCAAGACCACCTCATTGACCTTCTAGGGTTCCTCTGCTCATCCTATACATCAGGCTAGGATGTTTCTGAAGTTCAGCTCTTACCTGTCACCCCTTGTTTACAAACCACAGGTACCCAGGGTTTTTTTCTCACTTAAAATTTTCATTAGCTAAACTTGTTCTTTGACAATTTCACACTTATTACTGTAACCCCATATTCTCTTATTTCCTCTCTCACTTATCTACTCCCCCTAATTTCTTCCCTGCCTTCATATCTTTTGATTTTGTGTCCCACAGTGGGTGGGACTGTGGGATTAGAAGTTATTATTGGACGCTGGTGAGTTCACTAGAGGGCATATAACAGAAGACAGTGTCTCCTGTCTCCCATAGTCTGTCAGTAGCCAGCAGTTCAGAAATAAGTAAGGTACCATGAGCCCTTCCCCCATCCATGACTGAATTGACAGGGCCAGTCCAGTATAGTCCCTGTGTAAGCAGCCACAGCTACTATTTATGCATTTATGAATTTATGATTGCTGTGTCTCTCTGTCACATCTAGAGAATAGGATTCCTCAGTCATTTATCTTATCCCCTCAGCTCCTCTTCTATGATGTTTTCCCAGCTTTAGAGCGGTATAAATGATATGTTGAGGGTCGAATCCTCAACCATTAGCTATTCTCAGCATCCTGGACAGCCATGCATCTCTGCATTTACTACCGTTCATCTCCAAGAACGGCTTTTATAGTTGGGACTGAAAGTGGCCTTTATCTATGGGTGTAAAGACAGGTAGTTAGAAGACATTTTGATGCTATACTTCCCAAGGTATGTCTTTAAAGTCTCACTTATGAGGGGCTAGAGAAGTCCACGACCCATGCATGAGTGTAGCCCTGACACTTCCTGGAGCACTGGGACACAGAGGCTGGATGGCTCAGTGATCTAGGATAGAATCAAACATGACTGGAGAAAAAATGTCAATGTAATGATGCTTAATGACATTCTGCTACACACATTGATTGTTGCCTAGCCCAACAGTCATCAGAGAGACTTCATCCAGCTACTGGTGCAGAGACCCATAGTCAAACATTAGGCCAACCTCAGGGAATCTTGATGAAGAGTGGGAAGAAGAATTTTAAGAGCCAGATGAGGTCAAGTATATCAATAAAACCCACAGACTCAACTAACCTGGGTTCATGGGAGTTCACAGAGACTAAACTGGCAGCAAGGGAGCTTGCATAGGACTGACCTAGGCACTCTGCATACATGTTACAGTTGTGTAGCTTGGCCCTTTAGTGGGACTCCTACAGTGGGAATAGAGGCTGTCTCTGATGTTTTTAGTGGCATTGGGGACACTTTTCCTCATACTGGGTCACCTTGCATAGCCTTAATATAAGGCAAGGTGCTTAGTCTTACTGCAACTTGATATGCCATATTTTGTTGATATCCATGGGAGGCTTGTCCTTTTCTAAAGAGAAAGGAGGAGGAGTGGATGGAGGAGGGCAAAGGGAAGAGGAGTGGGAGATGTTAATATTCAGGCATCTTTACATTTTGACAGGATACACCCTCAACTGCAGCCACTGAGAGCACCACCTGTGTATATTCTCTGTGTTTCCTTTTAAAGGCCCTGCCCACCTCCCATCCTTCTCTCTTTTTCTTTCTCTCCCTCTCTCTGTTCCCCTTCTCTCTCCCTCCCTTCCTCCCTCCCCCTCTCTCTTTCTCTCTCCCCTTCTTACCTCTCTCTCCCCCTTTACTCTCTCCTCTCTCCTGCTGCTCCTGCCTCCAGAGGCCAGGCTTTCCCCTTACCTCCCCCCTTTTATGATCCCTTTCCCTAAAAAAAAACCCTCTGGCAGATTCCTCTTTCTCTTGCTTTTCTTAAATTGCAACAGGAGGGACTGGAAGGAGAGTAGGGAGGAGAAACTGCAGTCAGGAAATAAAATAAATAAAAATAAAGTACAGAAATTTTTTTTTAAAGCTGGAGAGACAGAAGTGGGGTTGCTGATCTCCCAGAACCTGTGTTTGGTTCCCAGCGCCCATGCTGGGAAGCTTATAGTCATTTGTAAATTCAGCTCAGGGGTTCTGAGGTTGTCTTCTGGACTCTGTGGGCATCCAGACAGACAGATAGTCAGACAGACACAGAAACAGACACACACACACACACACACACACACAGAGAGAGAGACAGACAGACAGACAGACAGACTCACATACACAGATATAAAATAAGTCTTTACAACAGTTTTCTGCAGGAGCCTCTCTGCTCTAGCCTGGACTCTTTTCAGTACCCGTACTTTCTCTTGTAGGAGTGCTTCCAGTGCTGATCCTGATGCTAACCACATCCTGCACTCTGGATAGTTCTTTTTCAACTAATTTTTTTCATTTATTTCACACCCCTATCACAGTTTCCCCTTCCTTGTCTCTTCCTGCCCCCCTACCACCCCCTCCTATTCACTCCTCCTCTGTTTCTGTTCAGAAAGAGGCAGTCCTCCCATGGTGTCGCGTTGAGGTAGGACTAAGCTTCTCCCTTTGTATTAAGGGTGACTAAGGCATCCCAGTATGGGGAATAGGTTCCCAAAGCCCGTTCAAGCATTAGGGAGAAGCTCTGATTCCACTACTAGGAGTCTCACAAATAGACCAAGCTACACAACTGTCACACATTTGTAGAGGTCCTAGGTTGGTCCCATGCCAGCTGTCAGTCTAGAGTCTGTGATTTCCTGTGAGCCCAGTTTAGTTGTCTCTGTGGGTTCCCTTGTGATGACCTTGAGCCCCCTGGCTTTTCAATCCTTCCTCCCTCTCTTCAACAGCATTCTTAGAGTTGGATCCATTGTTTTGCTGTGGATCTCTGCATCTGCTTCCATCAGTTACTGGATGAAGGCTATCTGATGATAACTAGGGCGGTCACCCATCCAATCATAGGAGATGACGAGTTCAGGCATCCTTTCCTCTACTGCTAGAAGTCTTAGCTGGGGTCATCCTTGTGGGTTTTCCCAGAGTTTTCTTGGCACCAGGTTTTGCCCTAACCCTGAAATGCCCCACCTCTCAACACATCACTTTCTTTACTTCCCCCCTCCATCCCACCCCAGCCTTCCCAACCTGATCTCTCATGTCCTCCTCCCCATGCCTCTAGTTTGCCCAGGAGATCCTGTTCCCAGGGAAATCCATGTGTCCATCTTTGGACCTTCCTTGTTACCTAACCTCTCTGGGGTTATGGGTTGAAGCATATCCTTTACTTTACAGCTGATACCTACTTATGAGTGAGTACTTGCCACGTTTGTCTTTTTGGATCTGAGTTACCTCACTTAGGATGACTTTTTTTCTAGTTCTATTCACTTATCTGCAAATTTTATGCTACCATTGTTGTTTACAGCTAAGTAACACTCCATTGTGTAAACACAAACATTTTCTTTATGCATTCTTCAGTTGAGGGGCATCTAAGTTGTTTCAAGATTCTGGTCTGCAGAATTGTTTTACTGAGATGTTTATACTGGAAACATTCACTTCCTGTCTGTGGTAGTGAGCAGGTGAAATATTTAACTAGGGACTTATAGAAAAACTAAGGATATTGTGCATAGTGTCTTTGGATTCCCTTCATCTACTGTTACCACTTTACATGTCCCAGTAGCCTTAAGATTCATTTCCTGGAATGGGGGATATCTATGATACCCAATAGTAATGGAAATATCTTATTCTTTTCCCTTTCCCACTTAGATATTCGTACTTGGATGTCCCACTTCTGAAGTTCTGAAACAGTCTTAAGTTTAAAATGTTTACATAAATTTTGGACATCCAGCTATCTCATTGGCATCGAAATGAATGCCTTATAAAATTTTCTTACACAAGTAAGAGAGGGAATCGATCCTGAGGTTGAAGACACAGCAAGCAAATTAATTATTCTCTAAGGGAGTACAGCTTAGAGTTGCTGGCAACAGTGAAAGGACGCCTGGTTGGCTGCACTCTTAGGTGGATGTGGTGAGCAGGTCAACATGTGTAGACTCTGTATTGTTTGGATACCAAGGGGCCTGAGAGGTCTGGTTTTTCCTATAGTAGTCCAAGCCTACCTTTCCCCTCCAGCTTACTATATGAGGCAAGTCAGCAGGAGGCCTGGAGATGATGGGGATGGAGTATCTGTCTTCCAAGGCTGCTTTCTTATCTGTCAGATGAAGTGTGAAGGGAATGCTTCCGAACTAAGCGTTGCAATGAGTCATGGCTTTAATTGTTTTCTATTTATAATCATGTTGGGTGAGATCATCTAGGCAGATCACTTTATTCTCCAGATGACGTGCAAGGAGCTGCTGAATGCAGGAAGCAGGCCACCTTCCAACTCCTCTACCAAGTGATATGCTCAGTGCAACTGACAGAGGCAGGGCCTGGAAAAGGTCACAGAGGTCCTGGGATTTGTCACCAGGCACATGGGAGTTTAAACCTTAATACTTATTTGGTAGTCAAATGACCTTCCCCCATAAAATGAAAATAACTTCCTTGCTCCTTACATATATTTAGTAGATAACATTTTTTTTTTTTTTTGGTTTCGAGACAGGGTTTCTCTCTGTATTGTGTAGATAACATTTTTTTAAAGACTTCAACTTTATTGAATTAAAAAAAATACAAACCTTACAACTGATAAAGCCGTTAGAACAAAACCAGTAGCTAGAGGACTATAATTTAAATAACACAACAAAAAAACCCAATTGTACACTTGGTTGGACCAAATCTGCATGTCCTTGTCATCCTCACAGTGTGGATTTATAGGTGACCATCAACATCAGGAGACAGAAGTTCCACTGTGACGTAACGGGTCCCCTTTCTGTATCCTAGAACACAAAGCACTACCAAAACTAGAGCTGCTCTTTACAGTGTTGAAGCAGCAAAATACTCCAAGCACATTTTAATTCTTTCCAGTGGAGCCGAAGCCTCCCGAGCCCCTTTCAGTGTCATCCAGTGTCTTAACTTCTTCTAAGTCCGGATAAAAAATCCGTTCACAAATGAGCTGTGCAATTCGATCACCTTTTTTTACTTCAAACTTCTCTTTTCCAAAGTTAAACAGCACAACACCAACATTTCCTCTATAATCTTCGTCTATGACACCGGCTCCCACATCTATGAAGTGCTTTACTGCCAAGCCAGAGCGTGGAGCTACTCTTCCATAACACCCAGAAGGAACAGCTATCTGAATGTCTGTTTTCACAATGGCTTTCTCCATAGGTGGTATTGTATAATCATAGGCACTGTACAGGTCGTAGCCCGCAGCGCGGGCGGACCCGCGCGTGGGAGCCGTGGCGTGCTCCGAGAGCCGCACGAAGCGCAGGGAAGCGCCATCCTCGGCCCGAGCCCTCTTGCTCACCAAGCCGGCGGCAGCGTCTTCCGAGCAGGGCATGGTGGGTGGCAAGCGGTGAAAAAGCAGAGCGCAGTCGTGTAGATAACATTTTAAAGGTAACTTTTTAATGGTAGATCTTTACTTCCTCTGATTGCAGTTTTTCTTTTCTTACTATATCTACATTTGCAGAAAACTTCAAGAGGAACGCATGAGAAAACCATTTCCAAAGCAGTAGCATCTTATTTGTCCTTCCACAGTCCATATTTCATCATCCAAGCTCAAAATAAAGAATTCCACTAGTCTTTTCTTTTTCTCTCCTTGTTTTTCATTCATTTGTTACCAACATCTGGTAAGCAGCTAGTGTGTGCTAGACATGGAAGTAGGAATGGGAAAGTACCTAGTGTGTGCAGCACATGACAGCACAATGGGAATTCAATGCTCCATTGGTTCATTTTCCGTTGTGCAAAGGTGGGTGGCTGCTCCCCAGGCTTTAATCTCATCTGTCTTGAGCCTCTGATTTCTTACTGTCTTCAGTGGTTTCTACAAGGATTAAATGTGACAATTTCTAGTAAGTGTTTGCCTGACACTTAATAGATAGTAGCCACATCAGAATGCTTTTGGTCCTGTTGTGTCCAAATTCTGAACCCCAAAATCACCAAGAGGCCCATTTCAATGCAAAAGCAAAGAGTCTTTTATTGTAGTTGTTTAATGAGCTAACTCCATTAGTTCGGGCCTTTCATCCATTCACCACAGCAGGAAGCTGGGATTTTATAGGGTGGAGTAAGGGGAGTGTCTAGGGGTACACAACAGTCTCAGGATTGGTGTGCTTCTAGGCTTGGACGACCTGCCCTGTGCTAATTGGTAAACTGGTTGTTATGGCCCATAGGCCCTCCCAGGGCAGTTGCTATGCTCTGCACATCTCGGTTGTGCACTTGTCTATAAAGTATACCCAAAGCCATAAAGCACAGCCCTGCCAGCTGACTTCTGATTGGTTCCTTGCCATGAGGAGGGCATTGGACTTGCTAGTGACCAGGACGGGAGGGGCAAAGTCAGGCAAGCACATGTTAGCCTGTCATGGCTGCTAAAACGGGGCTGGTCCCCTCAGTGCAAGTAACCCCAAGTAGCCAAAAGAATCAAAAGAATATTTCTATGATTTAATATAAACATAAGAATAATAGATGACTCCAGGAATGGTTGGTTCAGAGGCTCAGTACTTTTGGAAAAAGCTCAGGTTCTTCCCAGCTTTGTGCTCTGCCATCTTCAGCAGGATGGGTTAATATTCAAACTAGTTCTCATAGTCACAGTAGGGCATCACACACACAGGTGACAAGCTCCAGAGGAAAGTGAGCCATTTTCAAAGCCATTGCACCTCATTTCTCCTTCCACATCTGGCTAGTCATTATGTTTCATTAATTAGTGTTTCAGTACGCCATGGGGTGCCACTGGTGGGTTAGACCAATAAGAATACATTTCTGAAGCTAAAGACAATCTGGATTTTGCTAAGAAGTAGGAGCATCTAAACATGTTAAGTCTTTTGCATATTCAGTGGTAAATTTTCTAAGGAAATTAATGAGGGTGACAACCATGGATTAAAATCTAGCTACTTTTTCCTTATTTGTCTCATTCTTTAGCATTGTAGAGCCTTGGAATTTGAAGGTTTTGCTAACATATGCCCAAGGAATGATGAATGGCTCCTTATTGGATTCCCACCAGGATATAGACACTTCTCGATAAAGCATGGCAGAATGGCTTCTTGTCAGTCAACCCTGGTTAGTCACTTAACATTGAAACTCACTGAAATAAAGAACATTCCAGATTCATTTCCCCAGCTGTGTGTCTCATATTCCAGATTTCCATAATGGCTGTGGAAGGTTTCACTCCCACCGGCAGTGAATAAGGGCTCCTTTTTCTTCACATCCTCTCAAGCATTTGTTATTTTCTGTTCTTGATGACAGTCACTTTGAATGGAGTGAGATGGAATGTCACAGTAGTTTTGATGTTCGTTTCTCTGATGGCTAAGTTGAACACTTTAAAAAGTACTTATAGAGAGTTTCAACAAATGGGATAACATACTCTTTGCTCATTGGAAAACTGTTGAATGAGTGAAGGCATGGCTGTGAAATCATTGAGAACACAATGTGTATGGGGCAGAGGTGAGGTGAGAAGAAACTGAAGTAGGGCATCGAGGGTCAAGGCACAAGATGAGTTGAGTGGCACAGCTTATGGGTGAAATTCAATGTAATTAGTTATTCTGAGGCAAAGGGTGAATGAATTGGTCCTCACTGAGTTTAAAGAGATCACTTGGTCTCCTGGTGGATTTACTAATGAGAACTCAAGGCTTAGCTTTATTATTTAAATGTGTGTGTGTGTGTGTGTGTGTGTGTGTGTGTGTGTGTGTGTTTACAAGTCAAGGACTTGAGGTTTTAAAATTTCAACCATTTTTATCCATCCATCCTTTCAATGTATCATAAACAAGAGAGAAACCGTTACCAAAAGCTTACCACCAACACTGTCTTGAGTCAGATGTTCAAAAGTGTATCTGTTGGGCCTGGTGAAATGACTTAGTGAGTAAAGTTAGTCAATGCCAAACCTGATGACCCAAGTTTAATCCAGTCTCTGAACACTATGTAGTAGTTAGAAGGAGAGAACTAACTCCCACAATTTGTCTTTGACCTATTGTCCTCTGTCTGTCTGTCTGTCTGTCTGTCTGTCTGTCTGTCTGTCTGTCTGTCTGCCTGCCTGCCTGCCTGCCTGCCTGCCTGCCTGCCTGCCTGCCTGCCTGTCTCTGTCTCTGCTCTATCTCTGTCTCTCTGTCTCTCTCTCTGTCTTTCTGCCTTCTCTGTCTCTCTCTCTCTCTCCATACACACACAACACACACACACACACACACACACACACACACACACACACACACACACACACGTTTAAATATTTTCTTTGGGCCTTGAGAGATGGCTCTTCCATTAAGTGCACTTACTGCTTTGCAGAGTCCCAGGATTTGTTTCCCAGCACACACATGGGGCAGCTCACAGCTACCTATAAGTTTAGTTCCAAGGGATCCACTGCCCTTTTCTGACCTCTACTCAAATGAATACATTCAGGGACACACGCACACAAACACATAAAAATAAACCAATAAATCTTAAAAAATAAGTGTCTTGCATATTTGTATAGCAAAATTGTTGTTCATTTAGTAAAAATATCTAAAGGAGTCTAGCATTTAGTGCCACCAACATGATAAATGTGCCTGTGGGGGTGGAATGTGTCATGTGCTCTCACAGTCAGAGTGAGTGTGAAAGTTCCAGGAGTGTTTTGAAAGATGAATATTGAGTTATGACATTTGAAGGACGATGACACTTTCATAGGTACTAAGGGAAAGTCACAAGTACTGATCCCAAAAGAGGACCTTCAAGGAGGAAATTCCTAGCACTCTGTAGGGAATGTGGTAGTTTTGATTTACATAGATTTACTCTTTTGACCTTCTCAACATGAAGAGAATTCAGACTATAAAACAGTTGCTAAATGTCCAACAAAAAGCTAGCAACAATAGTGTACTTATTATAGTTCTCATTACAATGGGGCCTGAAGGAGGACAGCTGAGGAGATGCCCTTATGCTTATTGTCACCATGTCCCCTGTGGGAGGTATTAATGGCTAAGAAGCTATCATTTGGGGGATTTTTGCTTTGCTCCTTTTTTCCTCAAGATAATGTGCATGATAATGCTTTAAAAATTTTGTATTATCTCCTATTCCAGAGGTAAAAGGAGAAAAGAGAGAGGTATAAAGGAGTCTATTTCCTACTGGCTGGATTTTTGGAGGGTGCTGTGGGACCAGAGAAGTGTTTGATGGGGCCACAGGAAGTTAGAAAAGTAAAGGACTGTTGAGATTATCTTGAAGTTGAGAAAAAAGGGAGAAGTTCATGAAGTCAAATTGCATTTTTGAGCCATGTCCACACTAGGACTAGCTCTTAGTCAAACCCAATCCCCCACCCCCACATACACACTACTACTGTTGCCCTTGGTTATCCACAGAACTTGATGGCAAGATTCTATAGCTGAAGACACCATACTCTCTGGTCACAGGACATGGAGAAACCAGTTTGGTACTGACTAGAAGCTTCTTGTTGACCAGCTTCATAGCACCTTTTGGACGAAGAAGTCATCAGCAGTCTAGCCCATCTGGGAATCTTGTGATCTACAGTAACAGTGGCACGAATGTTATGGGGGTAACCAACTGACCGGATTTGAGACCTGGTTCACAGAAGGAAATTCATGCCTGGTAGTATAAATCTGGCCAAGAATTCAAGTTCACAGACTACACAGGTTCAAGGGATGCATCTACTACTATCATTTTTCTAAATGGGCACAATACCAAATATTTTTCTGGCTTTGTTTTTCTCTACCTGTAGATTAGTGCAGCCAAGATGTCATCAGAGCAGTTTTTCTGTGCAGTGGATGGTTACTAATTCTTCAAGTGCAGAGAATAAGTGTTAGTGGAGTGCTCATCCACAGATGGGATATTTTAACATTGTCCTCTCTACCCTGCCACAGCTAAGGAACATTTGCAGAACAGAGGGCATAAGATTATGGGAGCCAGAGGCCAGGGAGGACCAGAGACAAAGAATCATCTGAACGTGATTGGACCACTGCTGTCACAAAGTCCCAGCTGCTGTGGTTTCCTGCACAAGAGCTGTATAAGATCAAGATGATCAATGTTCTGGGATGGAGGGAGAAGTGGTTGAGTCCTAAAACCTAGCTGAGGACATCTTGGCAGTTGCTGGCATCTGGGGGAGGGAGAGTCAGTTTTCTTTAAAGGTATAGCTCCTATTAGGTTGACAATGATGTCTCATTGGGTATCCCCGTACTCATGAGACTATGGGCAGCACAAATTGGACTTGGTGGGTTATATATTTAGAAAAAAAAATAAAAGAGGGCATGAAGTTGGGGGTGGAGTGGGGAGATGGGTTTATCTGGTGCTAGGCAGAGGGATGGTATATAAATATTATTAAAATACCTTATATGAAACTATAAAATATTAATACAAATATTGTATTAAAAATAATCCT